AAGTGCCACAAGGAACACATGGAAGAAGCAAGATGAAAACGGCATATGCCGGTAACTCGTGCCTACCGGATATTAGGTTGGAGGTAGGACGACCCTAGAAATAGGACTCTTAATCCGTAAAATAACGATTCCTCAATCAAGACCGAACTACTTGGGGGCAACAACCGTGTTGGTGTCCGCCATGCCTGTGGTGGGCGAGGCGGGTTAGCTATTTGACTGACACTACATTTTGGAAATGGCTTGAGTTCGTTTGCTCTGCGCCTCTTGGCTTTTGTTCGAACTTGTAACTGGTCTTCTAGATCGCTCGTCCTTGCGCGGAAACCTCTTCCACTGCTTGGAAACGGCCCGAACACTCATTTCAACAACAACAAATGAAACGGCTGGCGTCCAACTGAAACGTCTAGTGCGGCATGCAGCTGCGTTTTATTCGGCTTTTGATGCACTACTGTAGTACTACAGTGCCGGTATTAATTGGATGGATGCTATGAAGCAATGTTGGGACCGGGGCTACACAATAACACGTTTTGCTCATGGCACGGCATCAAACAGTAGGAGCGGCAAAGCTGGCAACTTACAACGTACTAGTATGTAAATGCGTGCTAGTACCCTATTTGGTCCAATTCACGACAACGTTTTCATGTGGATTCTATATCACGCTGATGTGTGCAGGCAAGGGTGAATTAAATGCATTCTGTTCATCCTTGGTGCATGCGTCTGCATCGTGACGGTTGACGTTTTAAAATCAAGCTCAGCACATTTGAGTTGTCGTGCGTACCGGCACAGGGCTCTGGAAGGATGCGCTCGTTGGTGTTGAAGTGAGTCTATTTAAAATAATAAAAGACGACCCACTTGAACAACAACAGCCGTCACCATGACCACGGCCGCCGTCCCTCGTCACCTGATCGCCTGCAATGGCTGCCCCGTATTCCCGATCCTTGGTCCGCGTCTCCAGTCGACAACGACCCCCCAGTCTTGACTACTGCAAGCCGTGTGCACGTGGCACGGTCGCCTACAGTGCATGGTCAGTTTGCACTGCACGCCGCGCCGCCCGTGCACCGCGTGAGCTGCAGCGGCTGCTACCATCGTTCGTCCCCGCGCCGTCTCGACGACTGTCAAGGACTTCAACCTTTGTGTCCATTGCGTATTGCATTTGCAGCCGCGCGTACGACCAGTCTGCACGGCGCGGCGGCGCACCGGGGTGCCGTCTGCGGTGGCTGCAAAGTGACGCCGATCGTGGTCCAAGGACGCGACGCTGGATCTGTGTGCGTCCTGCGCCATCTCGGGGCGCTGGAACAAATCGCGCGGTCCGTTCAAGGTGCAGATCAAGCCGCCCGCCGTGGCCCGGGCATTTCGTGCGGTGCAAGGCGGCCCCGGTCGTCGGGCCCCGGTTCCAGTCGACGAAGTCCCCGGCCACGAGTTTTTGCAAATCGTGCCACGACTCGGGCAACTACACGACGACGACGAGTACCAGCATCACGGCTACAACAGCGACGACGCCCATGACGACAGCGGTGCTGAAGAGGACAATGGCTACGAGCACGACGACGACGACGACCATCACGGCTTCAACGAAGACTCGGACGACGACGATGAATAGCATAGAGCCATTTTCACAGCTCATTTGCATCGTAGTCATTCTACATAGCCAATACGTCGTGCCTAAAACTATATACACTCGGATGGACCAAGCTCTAGTTGTCACACGAATGTACACTGGCCCTTTCTTTCCTGTCTCTCGATAGGGCGATCGGTCGCCAGAAGAATGCCAGAATCACCAACATGACAGCGCGTCGTCGAGGCTTTTGCATCAAGTTTATCGGGCCAGTGCGCTGCCTCCAAGTGCCGCCCCCACAGCTCGCCGCCCACCAGCCTTCGTGATCTGCAGACTGTGAGGTCATGCGTTGGCGCTAGTTCACGCCTGCATACACTGCACTTGTAGCGAGAAGGGTCCGCCATCTTCTTGTCACCAATGATGGTTACTTGCTCATGAGTGGTGGACTCGATCACCCTAGGTGTCAAAAGGGCCAGACACTGAGCAGCCTGATAATTGTATGAAAATGATAGGCGTGTGACGAAGCGCCGCAGTTCAGTTCCTTGGACCCATTCGAAGCCTCACAGAGAGCTTGGGTCCATAAACATAAACTGTTTATGGATCCTTGCAGAGAGAGCTCGTTCCGCGAACCAGCATCGCCAGCAAGAGTGCGGTCGTTGGAACTGGCGACGACCGGCGACGAGGCTGCTGCGGATTGTGGTGAGGGCCGCCACGTCATTGGCTCGAATTTTTGGCTGCCGAATCGCAGCGTGGAATTCATTGGTCGAACGCCAACGGCAATCTGGGTTTTGGGTTTTGGGTTTGTCCCAAATGCCACCGCCGCATCAGGGTGCCGCACCAAGCGTCACCCAACGACCGAGAGCGATTCTCTATGCAGTGGCCGCATCGCTCTTCCTGCTTCGTTTCTATGCAGGTGTTTTCACTCAAAAGGTGTAGCCACCAGCGTACTCGATGCTACAAAAGATGGGATGGGTGCCCTCGCAGTGATGGTCATGTTTTGTCCCAGATGGGACAAAAGGTCAAGATATTCGTATGCCACTGAGGCCAGCCTTCATTCCCCTTCGGACCGGTCGATGCGGCGAGTGGCGTAGCCGATCCTCGTCGTACGACGCCTAGCACCCGCACCGTCATTGACAGCGACGTACCGTGTAGAGTACTCCGCATACCA